CCCCACACACACACAAAATTTTTAACACTTTCTAGCTACAAAACAAGTTCAAAGGTCAGATTAACTTGTGTAACTCAAAAAACTAGGAAGGCAAAGACAAGCCACAAGTTATATCTCAATTAGGATGTCGTTGTATGACAACTGTAATGCTTCTTTCCAGATTAAAAATAATGTTATTTCCTTTTATTGGTCAGCGCAAGAAATATAGATAATCATAATTTAACACAAAATACCAGGCAATGACACAAGGGATTTATATAAACAAAAAGGAAAATGTCCAGCATTGCTAGCTACGTTACTTGTAAATAGTATTCTGAAAATCAATCCTGAGCTGACAATAAGGAAACACAACAGGGAACTCCTACTACGGACTGTGCAATACATGCACCACAAATTTACCAGACAAGTAGCCCTATGTTAAAGCTTAAGAGAAGCTGCAACAGCCAAAATGAAAAAAAAGCTGCAAAACTAGAAAATGTATATCCCTGTAAAAGATGAAAAATTTCTGAACCTGAATCTGCAGCAACAATTGTTCTTGTGCCTCAAGGTTTCGAGCAATTTCTTCACAAATATGATCATATTTTGCAATCTCCTTCCTGAAAAGATCCTCATGGGAGCCAGTGGATGTCATCAATTTCGGAAGTATATCATCCTGAGAAATATCATACAGCAGATATTAAAAATTGAATTGCATAGTTAGATCCCACAAATCCTGGATAAACGACGAAGCAGAGCAAATACCAACGCACAAAGATGTTGCAAGTGGAACACAAATGTCAAATAATAAGCACAAAGGCAAATTCATATTACGCGACCTGTTCTTGAGATGATGAAGCGCAAACTAATGCCAGTGGAGTAGCCTTAAACGTATGTCTCCACATTTTATGAAAAGCCTGATCTATCCCTCTTTCTTCATACACTCACAAAGAATTTCCTTTTGATTTACCAAGGAAATGGAAGTTGCGAGATCACATTCTTATACATAATTAAAAGAAGCTGCATAACCAAATTAGCNAACGGGTAAAGGGTTAATGAAGAGCTTCCCTTGATGTCATGTAAGCAAACTATCCCTTTGAATTTGTAAAGAAAATGTATCTTATGCCTAACTCAACTCCAAAAGCTAGCTCATTAGGTGAAGATTGCCCAAGATCATATAAGGAACAACAACCCATTGCCTCAATCAATGTGGGACATCCTAACATCCCCCTACACGCCCAGGATCAGACATCTAGAACGTGGACAATGTAACAATTGAGGCCCAACATTGGGTAAACCAAGAATAAGGATAGTTCTAATTCTAATAGCATGTAAATAAATGGGTATTGAGCCTAACTCAATCCAAAGCTAGCTAATGAGGTGAGAATTGCCAAGACTATATACGGAGACAATAGTCCATTCCCCTAACCAATGTGGAATATTCTAACAAAATTAAAAGACCGGCTCTTATTCCTATTTTTAGGAGTAGATTGAAAGGCTTATCACATCTCCTACTGCTGCTCTCGCCCCGTCAACCACAAATAAGATGAGCAAATATGAATCCATTGGACAAAAAGTCAATCCACTGATGGAAGAACCTGCACAAGGAGAATTCCTAATCCAAGGATTCATTCAGGGTGGCCAACAACAAGTGAGATCTCACAACAAATATGTTTGTCCATGGCCTCTATCATTCAGGTATTATATTATTTATATCATGTTAATACACTCAATAATTGTGGAGCAGCAGATTAAGAGGATAGGCACTAGCAAAGAGTTATATCTTCATCACTTGCTAGGATGAAAGAGATCATACTTATTTAACCCCCCTATGAGAAAAATTAATGAACCAAAGATGGCTAAAGTTTTATCCTGAAAAAGATGTCCACATCTACCTAATAGAATTCAACTTTGCAGAGCATATAATTCAAAAGGAATCTTGTTATACCTTCCTCTTCATCTCTTTCAGCATATCTTCCAGTCCAGCCCGCTGAGCACCAAGCGTTTCTAAATGCCTCTGCAAATTTAAGCAACAAAGACTTCAGAGAGTCCACTCGAATAATTTAAGTTGCAACAACATAAAGCTTCTACATCGAAATAAGACAAATAACTCTTTCCAAGGCAGATTGGAGGGAAGTTCTGCAGTGTTTTCTACAGTTAATATATCCAAAATATTTACAGACCATTTCCTTCGGTAATTTTTAAAATCATTTTGTAACATGTATAATACCCTAAACACTTCACATTACTTTGTATCCAAAAATGATCCTTGCAATGTACAGTTGATCTATATTATTGTTCAAAGACCACTTCTCAATCGCAAAATGGGCATCAAAGGATTTCAAACTAGAAATAATGGGCAGTAAGTGCTCAAAAATCATCCATGAAAGTTGTTTTGAAGTTCGAAGTATGATGATGTTCAATTTTATAGTATTATTAATATTCACTAGTAAAAAAAACTTAATGCACACTGGGACATCAATTTTCAAATTGTCTACTTGTAACAAGAAATGAAAACCGAGAAGAAAATTACACACTTTTCAGACTGAACGAACTTGCGCTATTTTTTTTGGATAAGGGAAAGAATGCTTTTATACCCAAAAAAAAAAAAGGCGATGATATATACATTGACCAGTAAGGCCTTCCAACAGAACAGGTTTTAGTCACTCAAGAAACATGGTTGCAACATAAAGCATCGGCTAAGAAACACAATAAAACCAAATAACACAAATGTAGCGACACTAATTCATATTACCAAGCTCTGCTTCAGAGCCCCCACAATGGCATCTTCAGTGGCGTCCAAAGACATTATTGGTCTTTCCAAGGTTGGAAGAGCAGATTCGATCTGTCAAAGGGAAAAATGCACGTGTCAGGACTCAGCTTCTCCTCAATATAAATAATAGTGCTCACATTGTAAGCACTGGATTCAGTGATGAAGTTTTGCAATAATAACATGATGTACATGTACAGTAAACCACAGATTGAGCCAAGTCCCAAACATGAGATCAAAATCAATGACCAAAGGCTCCAACTCTAGTATGCATTTTAACCTGATAAAAAACCCTTAAAGTGAACAGTGACAGAAGATACCAAATATATAGTATGGAAGCATCAGGCGTCTTACTAAGCCCTCACAGTGGTACAAGCTTGTCAAGTGGTTTATCGAATTCACTATCTCCATTGCCAGATAGAATTTGATAACTAACCTCGAAAGTACAACCTAATACTATGAGTCTACCTACAAATAAATACAAGAGCCAGGCCGTTTGATTATTTTTATGTGCATTGATGAGTCAAGCCCGTGACAAAGCCGGGTAAGAACTTGAAGTGGCCAAATGAGACATGACATGACTAGTTATGCAAAATTAGCTTAAAAACAGGCTTCAAATGATAGATACGTACTGGATGGCGGTCAAGGATTGACATGAGTGCTGCATGATCCCTTACTGATCGCTCAATCCTGGCATCACTTTCTGCAGCTTGCTTCAGGTTAGCTGCAAACCTATTTAACCTGTCCAGCAAGTTCTTTGTTAAGGTAGTAGATTGAGGCCTTGTCCATCGTGTTCCAAATTGAGTTCTAAATTGTGCATCTTCTGTTGCTTCTTTTTGCAAATGTTCCTCGGTCTGGACCAGCAACTCCTGGTTCACCCTCTTCAAATCTCTGAGTTGCTGCAGCTCAGCATCCAAACCAGCTGGACCACCACAAATTTGCACTGCCTCTACATCTTCTTTTAAGGCCAAAGGTAGAGATAAATTCCCATCCAAGGCAAGAATAGAATCAGGCAAGTCCATTTCTCTAAGCCTCACTCGAGCTAGCTCGCTCCCCTGTTGTAACTTCTCGGCTTGAGTCCTGATGACGTCATCAACCATCTCAGTGTACCTAGAAAGAGCTTTAGCACTGTTGTCTGGGACAAGACTTGCAAACATCTTCTCCTTGCTAGCATCCAGAACATCATTCATCTGCATAGGCTTGACCAAGGAAAATGCTGGAAGTGGTGACAGAGAACTGGCTGGTGGAACCCTCATGAGGTAGACTCTATCATTTTCCTTCATAGCCTTCTCCAAGTTTAGATTTAAACTAGCTTCTAGCTTATTCATTGCATCCAAGAGCTGCTGTGCTGCTCCCCTTGGAGATGTTTTTCTTGCCTCAGACAAGGCATTGACCCCGCTCTTCAACCTCGCAATTTCCTCAGCAATTTCTTCTTTCTCATGGAGCTCTAGACTGTACCTATAACAGGCCTCGGCATAAAATAGTGCTGCCTTAAGTTGAACGTGAGCTAGCCAAGCCTTGTCAAAGTGCTGGTTCAGAGGTGCAACACTTAATGCTGCCAAAGCTTCCTCATAAAACAATCCAACCTGTGATAGAACATTCATTTTATTTCAACATCAATGCTGCATCAATTGCTACATCCAAGCACTTGAGTAAGATCCAATTCGAACATTCCAATGGTTTGGCCAAACTATGATAATTTATAACTTATAAGCTAAATATGTGTTGAGATGCTATTTACAGGGAGCCATGGAGCAACGGTAAAGTTGTCTCCGTGACCTATAGGTCACGGGTTCGAGCCGTGGAAGCAACCACTAATGCTTGCATTAGGCTAGACCATCTACATCACACCCTTTGGGTGCTTCTCCAGACCCTGTGTAAATGCGGGATGCTTTGTGCACCGGCTGCCTTTTTTCTTATGCTATTTAATATTTACAGGGAATAACATGTGCAATAAACTAAGAACCAAAATTTTGAAGGAACTAGACAAACCCCAACTCATACATGCCTTCTCCAGTGAACTATTTTGAGTTTGAACTTAAAATTCGAAACCAACAAATCCAATAAGAAACTCCTTACCAAACCCCGACTCTCAGGCTGCATATGCCAACAAACCTGTAGAATAGCCTTTTATAATTCATAGATGAGTTTATTCTGACCAAACTTCAATCCAAGCCTTATTACATCTAGGAATGCGGAGGATTGTCATTACTATTTATCAGAAATATGTGCACGTTAACATTACAAAAGTTGCACAGACCCTAGGAAATCCCCTCGCTGGCTAGTAAATATTACCTACTAATTATCTAAGGAAGGTTTTAATTCCTAAAATGAGAAGAAATCTTGTTAACTTGCGACCTAATAATGATGTACAGCAATGTGACAAATGTCAAGAACTCAACTCAATCTCACAGATACGTTTTCTTTTTCTTTATAAGTAAACCTCATACAACACCTATTAAGTGGCATATTTTAAAAGAGAAGGAAAAATAAACCTGTCTTGAAATCTTTGCACAGACACCAGGAGTGTTTCCCTTGGCAATGCTATTCTCAAAAACACACTCCTGCGCCTGAGCCAACATAAGTCTTTCCAGCATCCCAGCACATTCGACTGAGACATCAACAGTGGTGGAGCTACCCATTGATGCCTTCATTGCCACATTGTCTCTCAAGAAGGCAAATGCCCCAGCAGCAGCAATAAAGGAATGTGATGCTTGCCTTCGCCCCTCAACTGATGAACGATCAAAACCTAACCCCATCTGACTGTGCACTGCCCCAAGATTGAACAAAACTGCAGCTTTTTCTACGTAGACGGAAAAAATGATCAGTGCAAATGCACGACAAGATGACAATACTTCGAGCTTAACATTGATTTCTCTAAACTCGTAAGAATTAAGAAAGACATAACCCTATTTCTTTATAGAGTGGTAAATATAGACATATTGTGCAAAGATGAACGATCAAAACCTAATCCCATCTGACTGTGCACTGCCCCAAGATTGAACACAGCTTCAGCTTTTTCTACGTAGACGAAAAAAATGATCAGTGCAAAAGTACGACAAGATGACAATACTTCGAGCTTAACATTGACTTCTCTAAACTCGTAAGAGTTAAGGCAAATGTATGCCTTTTTTCTTTATTAAGTGGTAAATATAACCTCTTTGTGCATCTAGGTATTGGCAATCAAATAAGTATTTCGTATCTAAGCATAACTACTCCCAAGCACAAATAAACAATGAAGGCTTTGGTAGAATAATGGCCGCATAAAAGTAGTCTAACTATGATGAATTCTCTAGAATTCATCTCTAAATACGATGTATCCTCTAAATTCATCTCTAAATACGATGTATCCTCCAAATTCATCGGGACATGCCCAACCTAAGTAGACTGAAATGGACACATAAGATTCATAAAGCCGGCCTAAACTAATATGAGAGTGTGAAGTAGTTGATTGATAACACCCTTAAAACGAATAGGTAACCCAGGCCAATGGGACAATCTCTAAGTTCCGGAGAGTACAGAATTTAAAGTTGATCAATAGCGAACGGAAAATCCAGGAACATTATCACTAACTCCATATTGCGAGATGGTTAATTAATTCAGTTCAGTAAAAGGGAAAAGAGACCATTTTAGAAACTCAGAGCAAGTGTGTAGAAATAGAAAGTTGTACCTCGCGCAATATCAATTTTACAATGAACAAGAATCAAAACAATAAAAACAAAAGGACACAAAATTTGAAGACCCAATTGAACAAAAGTTGCAAAATTTCAAGGCCCAATAAAATAAATTACTAAATATTGAACTACTAGAAGCTCAGAGCAAGTATATAGCAATAGAATGTTGTACCCTGCGCATCACCAATTGTACAATGAACAAAAATACAATTTTCAAACCCAATTTCACAAAATTGCAGAAATAACATACCTAAATGAATATTCTGCTGAGCAGCTTTGTTTTTGTTCTTGAAAGCATCGAACCAAGTAAAAGTAACAGAATTAATATGGTCTTGATCAGGCGAAATAGGGAACCGAGACTCAACAGCGCAAAGGGCTTTATAGTAATTCTGCAAAAGGTCACGGCGAGCAGGAAGAGACGATGATGAATCAGTGGAACCCGCACGTTCGATGTCGGAACGATATTCCTTAAGGGTTTGTAAATCATCTTCGATATTTTGAGCTTCACGTTCGGAGTAGTTGTAGATTATGTAATTTCGGAGTGGACGGTAGAGATCGACTGATACTGTTTTTTTCTCGGAGATTGAGAGCATCACGTTGGTTGTTGACGACGGTGCCGCCATGGTTGCGGTGGTGCTTGACGGTGGTGGAAAGGTGATTATAGTGAGTTTGTGTGTGAATTGAGTTTTTCCTGTTTATATATGTTTGGAAAGAAAGAAATTGAAGAAGTCAATGAAGCTTAGGTGAAGAAATCAAGACGTGTAATTTGGTATAAGAATACTATTTTGCAATTTTGTTTTTATGGGACTATGTTTGCTTAGTTGGAAAGGAAGACATCAAAGTGAAGTTGCTGGCATCTGGGGTGGGGGAAGGGCGCAGAGTAATAAGTTTGGCATTTCTCTTTTGTACTTTTATTTGGCGAAAAATAGGGAAAAGACCATATTCATATGTTAAAAAAATTGTATTTGGTATTGCATTCTGTAGAGTATAGTTTAGGGCCGTGCATTGGTAAATATCGAATTACCGTATCGAAATCGATTTGATATTCGGTATTCGATATTTTGATATTCGGTATGGTATTTGGTTTAAGTTTTAAAAAAAATTGATATTAAATATGGTATTTGGTATTTTAAAATGAAATACTGAAATACCGATATTTTATCGAAATATATATTATATTATCGTACCGAAAATACCAAACCAAAATATCTAAATATCGTATCGACCGACGAACACCCTAGTTATATTTTTTGCTTTACTTTACTCTAGAAAATGCAACAGCAATACAACTTCCTTTAAGAAATTTTCTGTTGCATTCTCTAGAGTATAGTTGTATTTTAGAGAAGCCTAAGTTGTGTCATCTCTAGAGTAATAAATTTAAATCCTCCATCATGATTAATAATTCAAATATGTGGCAACAAGACGAAGTTGCTGGATTTTGAGAGAAATCGTGAGAATCGTGCAAAAGGTAAGGTAGTGAAGTTATGAAGAGGGCTAGGGGTTTTATTCGGTAAGGTTTTTTCAAGGATTGGAATAATATAAGATACTAAATAATAAAAAATTTGATCAAACTAAAAGTATTTATAAGTCGATAAATACTTTTGCACAAATAACCTCCGCTTGATGACACCCCTTACAGAATCCATATCCGGTTCTAGAAGATCCGGTTCTGGAAGGACTGCCTCCACTGCATTAGGGGGCGCGTTTAAATATTAAATATTTTTAATCAGTGGCGGAGTCACATTCAACCAAGGGGTGTTAATCGATACTCATTCGCCGGAAAAATTACACTATATTGCTAGATAAATATTTTTGATTTATGTATATTTACTATTCGTTGACCCCCTTGACTTTTCGGTATATCTAATATTTTATATTTTGACACCCTTTGGTGAAACTTTTGGCTCTGCCACTACTTTTAATTCATGAGTTCGAAACCAAAATGTTGTCTTTTTGGACTCAAAGCACAAAAATAGGTTAAAAAAATATATGAGTACTATTTTATATATAACGCGGTTATTCACCGCGTTATACCTTAACGGCACGTTTGTCCGTTAAGGTATAGCGCGGTGAATACATCCGCTATATATAAACTTTAGTACCCCACCAATAATTCATCTAAACTTTATTGACCCACCAATAATTGAGGGTATAGCGCATTCATAATAGGCGCTATATATATAGTGCCTATTATGCATGCGCTATGCCTTTAATTATTGTACCCCGGACTGGATTTTTGCTTATTTAAGGAGTTTCGGCATTTGTTAAAAATCCATTCAGGATCCTTCAAGTCTTCCGAAATATTTGGTCATTAACTTATTTTACATTTTATCATAATGTCCGAATAGCGAAAAATTAGGGTTTCATTATATTGGGGGGTGAGGTTGTGGTGGAGAATAACTTAGTACGCTATAGTTGTTCTCCACAGTGTCATGTTAAGTTGCCACTTACAATGGAGTACGATAGATTGGTATCGTTGTTATGTAAAAATAAATGGGTGTGAGGAAACATTTGGTTAATATTAAAGTAACCGGAAGATATTCGTATTCTGTTACTCCGCAAGTGATATCTTGTTATGCTGAGTTTAACATCGTAGACGATGAAACTCTGACAGATTTTTTGAGGACTCCGGAAGAACACCGGGGAACTTCTTGTGATAAAAATATTGAAAATGTACGCCAAGACTGAAGATATTCACAATATTGAGGTTCCGCAAAATAAGGATAACCCTGAATCATCGGGTGGTTTTTGTGGAGCAGTTTTATCCGAACAGGTTCCGTTTCAAAAAGTTTGGCCAGATCTAAACTTATCTCCACGGGTAAATGAGGAGCGAGGAAATAATTTCTTCCCAAGTTTACATAACCCACAAGCCGAGTGGTAAATTTTAATTTTCCTTTGTATTACGATATTTTTTTTTATGTATTGTATTTGTATTAACACTTATATATTCCAAAGGGGGTACCGACCAGATATGAATATTACAATTTATAAACCAACGGACAGTTGGAATATGCCTAGTTTTGGTGTGTTGGATCATGGTGGTTCATCCGGGAGTCATCAGCAACAGGATAATATGCATCAGGGATAGCAACAGATTATGATTTTTAAGTTAAGTGATAAAGTTTATATTTAATGTTTGGATGAATTTGAGAAACTTATTATTTTATTGGTTGTGTAGTGAAAACGAGCAGCTTGAAGGTCCTGTCCTTACTCAATTTCTCGAAGATGATATATTTAATCGGGATTTGGCAGATACGCAGAGTCAGGAAGATGATAGTGATTATGACAACAATAATGATGAGTCTGGAGATGACACATCCTTCCTTGATATGATGATGATAATGAGGACGAGAATGATGAACCCGATTTGACGAGGGAGCATGATGCCACTAATGAACATGCTCCACTCCATATATGCAGACTCCACCCCCGTTAGCCCGAGAGTATACGAGTCCCATGTGTCATTTCATTCACGGAATATTACCTACCTTGATCAGTTGCCTAGTATGACGAATATGGATACCCTCACAAGGGATCTTGACGACAGTCAGATAGAAATGTGTGATGAATCTAGACCAACGGTGTTGTCAAAGATTATGCTTTTTGCTGATAAAGCGCGCCTAAGCAGGGCGGTGCTAATGTACAACATAAAAGAGTGTCGTGAGATCGTGGTTCATGAGTCATCTCCGAAAGTATATAAGGTTATTTGTTGTAGATGGTTTCAAGGTTGTGCATGGATGTTACGTGCGAGAAAGTTGAAAACAAATATGTGGATTGTGGGAAAATACATTGGCACCCACACTTGTGAAATAGACACATTCAGTGGGAATCATTTTAACTTGAATGTTGACTTGATTTCTCTTGTCTTGATTCCACACATTGAATCGTCCATAAGGTACAAGATTAAGGAGTGTATAACATCTGTCCACCAGGTATATGGATATATTATTGCCAAAAGAAAGGCATTTTTCGGGCGTAAACGTGCGTTTGAGATTGTTTATGGTAACTGGGATAAGTTATTTTTCGATCTACCTAGGTACATGGATGCATTGCAACATTTTAACCCCGGGACTGTTGTTGAATGGAAGCTTGAGCGGAGTTCGGGAATACAAGAATTCATCTTCAGATATGTGTTCTGGACATTTAAACCAGCCATTGATGGTTTTGTGCATTATCGGCTAGTAATATCCATAGATGACACTCATATCTATGAAAAATATGATATTAAGTTGTTAATCGTCGTTACAGTAGATGCTAATGGAAGCATATTTCCCCTCGCATTTACTATTTGTGCCAATGAAAGCCAAGAGACGTGGATATTATTTTTGAACCACTTGAAGGAGCACGTTGTTAGACATCGTTCAGGTATTTGTCTAATATCTTATCGGCATGTCAATATTTTAAGTTATGTATAGAATTTGCGTGCATGGAAGGAACCATATGCCTACCACTGTTACTGTGTTAGGCACTTGAAGGCCAACTTCCAGAGGGTTCATCCGATCAAGGAATTACATGATTTAATGTGGATGGCTGTAATAGATCACCAAGAGTGTAAATTTAGGAGTTGAATAGAATTGATTAGGCAGGAAGACCCAGAAACCTATCGTTGGTTAATGCGACATGAGCTTGACAAGTGGAATTTGCATAAGGATGGTGGTAGAATATGGAGAATTCTGACTACAAATGTGTCTGATTCTTTCAACGGGTTGTTGAAGTCTGCACGTGGATTACCTGTCACTGCCATGGTGTGGATGTCATTCAAGCAGATGGCGGAGAGATTTATAGAAAGATCTAGAGGTGCATCGTCATTGATGGAAATAGCTGTTGAATTTATGCCATAGCCAATGAAACGATTTGAGAAATATAGGAAGCGAGCATAGTGTCATACTTTTTTGCAGTATTGCAGCAAGCAAAATATTTTTGAAGTTCACACTGGTTTGCATCACAACAGCGGGAATAATACACACACCGTCAATGAATCCAAAATATTATGCTCCTGTGGAAAATGGTCAATCTATCACTTGCCACGCTCACATGCCATGAAGTGCTTTCAACATACAGGTTTCACAGTAACGAGGTACGCTGATAAAGAATATAGTGTTGTTGCATACGTAAACACCTATAGTGGACAGTTGCAGCCAGTGGTTGCTGAGCATTATCGGCCGCCTAAACCATTTAAAATAGTATGTAATAAGGATTATGTATGTCAATGGCAAGTGCAAAAAAGAACGCGAATACGGAACTAAATGGATGTTGGTGATATCGTTTATGCGCGTAAATGTGGCATATGTTCCCAAACAGGACACGACCATCATAAATGTCCTTCAGCTGATTTGGAAAGCGGTGGTAATTCAGCTCCAGGTAGCAGTTCATCCAATGTGCCCAATTATAAGGATAAACATAGTGTTTTATTGCAGTATTGTTGTTGTACTAAATTTCTATAAATGTTCAGTTTGCAAAATTTCTGAAATAAAATTATGTTTCTAATAAGGTTAAATCTAATTGATATTTAACATTAAAAATTCAATACAACAATTTAAAATACACTCCAAGAAATAAATAATAATTTTCATTCGCTATTATCGCCGTTGTATAGCACTATTTCATTGCCATTGTCTTCATCTTCTTTGTCAACATCTTGTACGCATCCTTCCGGACCGAGGGCATCGTAATCTAGGCCCCAGTTGACACATATGTCTCGTATTTCATTACTATCATCAATAAGACTACTTGCTTGATTTCTACAACAAAATAGGACTCTTACGTCCAACGTATGTGGTAGAAACTTAGGTAGTCCCTCCCACTCGACAACTACTGAAAAAATAGAATAATCAATGTCTCTATGCAATTTTTTATTTTCTAATAAATCCCA